TGCCAGACCCCGCCGCTTCTCCCGTTTGATTCTGAGTCCCTAGAGACTCGCCCGGATCTGGAGCTCAGAGTCTGAGACTCCCTCCTGATTGATGACAACCACGCTTTGCGCGCGCACCTCCGCACCTGAGTATTTTCCACACTGCGCCTCCTCTGAGCCTCGGTGTGCTGTTATTTTTCCTTCTAGTTGAAGAGTCTCTCCTCAGCCAGCCTTCCTGTGGTTCTGGGTGATGTCCGTTCCGTCTTTTAGTTGTATTTTTGAAGTGGTTGTTTGTGGCAGCAGTCTCCGGTGTTTACCTATGCCGCCATCTTGCTCGGACCAATGGTAATTCAATTCTTTATTAAGGAAATTTGATTCTTTTGTTACAATTTTTTAGATTTGTGTTTGCAAACATTTAACATGGGGGTGGGAAGGAGAAACCAAGAACAACCCACACCACCCTTTATCTTCCCCAGCTTCTGGCAGAAGCAGGACCTAGAATAGGGCTCCAGCCGAAACCGGTTTGGCTCAGTGGATAGAAAGGCCTGCGGACTGAAAGGTCCCAGGTTCGATTCCGGTCAAGGGCATGTACCTGGGTTGCGAGCACATCCCCAGTGGGGGATGTGCAGGAGGCGGCTGATCGATGTTTCTCTCTCATCAATGTTTCTGACTCTCTATCTCTCTCCCTTCCACTCTGTAAAAAATCAATAAAATATATTAAAAAAAATAGAATAGGGCTCCAGACAGGGGTTTTCACTTGAACCTTGCCTGGCTCACGCTCCAGGCCCCGAAATGCCTTCATAACCTGGGAACCGGGCTCTGGATAGCGTTGGGGGAGCTCTGAGTCGCTGCCTCCTAGACTGTGTTGGGGAACAGCTGGGTCGCCTTCTCTTGAACAGTGTTGGGGGATCACTGGGTCGCCTTCTCGCGGACAGCGTTGGGGGAGGCCTGGACTGCAGCTACCCAGACTGCAGTGGAGAATTCCCGGGCTCGGCCTGCTGGGCAGCGTTCTTCCAGGAGCCTTGTGCTTGAGTTGGCGGTGATAGCGAGCCAAGTTCATGATCATCTCGGACACATCCTTTCGGTAAGGAGGCCGACCCAATAGCAAGATCTCAGCCTCGCCTTCAGGGTCCCGCTGATGAATGCGAAGCAGCGTCGGCGACACACACTCGACGTGCGGAATGTGCTCTCTGCCGGCCGAAGATCTTCCACCAGCCTCGACTCGAGGTGACCTGTCTGCGGGCTCTTGGGGTTCTCCGTGTGCAACCAGGAGTGCTGCTTCGCGGTCACCCAGCACCGGAATGGCGCCCCTCCCCGCTGCTCCGGTTGCACGAGTGTGGGAAAGGCTTGGCGGCAGCCATGCTGCGGTGGGCCATGCGGAGATGCTGCTGTAGATGCAAGTGGCCTGGCTAAGGCCTGGCTAATCTTTCTTGAATCTCTTCTTTGTTCAAAATCCTCCCCTGGCCGACTTCCCATTGCTTTTAGGATAAAGTCAGTATCTTTGCCTTAACATTCAGAGCCCTAAACCAGCTCATCCCTACACACACCTCTAACCTCAGTCACAAGTGTCCCTCCCTCCATCCTTCTGGTACCTGTTCTACTTCCCCAGCACAGCCTGTGCTCATCACTGCCCATCAGATGGACGAAACCACCCACCTGTAAGTACCAACTCTTACCTACTTTTTAAGACGTTTCAACAAATTCTCCTCCAAGGAACCTCCTGGGAAGCACCCCCTTTCTGAGCGAATACAGAGTTTTCCAACTTCCCTCTGGTCTTAAGGAGGGCAAGTCCTTGCCACGCATAGAGGTAGGAGCTGAGTGTTGACTATGGGTGGTCAGCTTCAGGTGTTATAGAGAAGAGTGCTTATTGTTAAGTTTTGTTATAGCACGGGTTTTATTCACACCACGGTGAGTGAGGTGAGCGGGAATACCACTCTGTGATGTTCTTTGACTCTACCCAGCACACAGATCTCAACATGGCTTTTTACTCTCAAATGTGCAGTGTAAAGTACCTTCCGAGAGGTGTAACTTCTGCAGATGCTCTACTGTTGAGCTTTTTGTTTCTTATGAATCTGGGAATCCGTGAAGATATTGGGCTCTGTCTCTTGCAAATGCCAACCACCTCGCAATAGTTACTTATGCATCTGCTTTGCTTTCCTTCGAGACTGTGGCTCCTTGAGAACAAAGACAGGAGCTGCCACAATGAACACTGATGAACCGATGGCTTCTTAATTAAGTTAATTTGGGCGGCATTTGCTGACCTCCCCATTATATGACCTCTGAAGTGGATTTTAGCCCCCCCCCCTTTTAAAAAATATGTACTTTTATTGATTTGAGAGAGAAAGGAAGGGAGAGGGAAAGAGAGAGAGAAGCATCAATGATGAGAGAGAATCATCAATTGACTGCCTCCTGCATGCCTTCTGCTGGGGATCTAGCCCACAATCCGGGCATATGCCCTGACCTGGAATCCAACTGTGACCTCCTGGTTTATAGATCAACCCTCAACACCAACCCACGCTGGCCAGGCTAGCCTGGGTCAATGGCAATACTTGATGTTTAAGTAAAAGGTTTTGGGGGAGCTCAGGTAAAAGTAGGAAGTTACTTTGGAAACATGCCTTTCTCTGTGAGTCTAACCCAACGCTCTGTGCACACAGGTCCCCAATAGACTTGATGCTTTGAAAACAGAAAGGCCCATCCCATCCTCCTCTGATTCACGAACGTGGATGAGGGTTAGTTTGAAAAGAGCACCACACAGATTCTGATTTTTCCTGCGAAGTTGACAGAGGTGCACACGCTTTCCCAGTGACAGCATCATGTACCTGGTTTTCTCATCTTGACTGACCTGACCAATCAAGCTGGAGACCACGAAAACGCCCAGGAAAAAGTTCAGCAGCTGAAACACAATTTCGAATAAAGTTTGTGGTTCTGGAAGACCCCCAATGGTAATCAAACTTCGGACTGCCCAGTAATAACATCTCAGATACCTGAGAAAAGAGAAAATACACATTTTGCTTTCTACTCTAACATTAAAATATCACTGTGCTTGGGAACATAGATCACCACCACATTATAACACACACCTCCTGATCAAGATTTCTTTCCACGGCAGCATTGGGAAGTATCACATGTTCTAATGTCAACTTCTTCTTATTATTATTTTAAACTAGTGCCCTGGTGCACGGATTCGTGCACATTGAAAGGAAATTAATTAGAAGGTGGCTGACAGGGTGGGACTGGGCAAGATGGGTTGGACACACCCTGGAGCCAACCTCCTGCAGTCCCTCCTTGGCTGGCTGCACCTGGGGCGGCCGTGTGGCTCGAAGGGTGTCTGCGGAGTGAGCGGGGTCCCTCCAGCAGGTGGGGTCCCTCGGCCTGGCTTGCAGGGATCAGGCTGAAACTGGCTCTCCGATATCCCCCAAGGGGTCCCAGATTGCAAGAGGGCAGTTCTCAGGTCACACCCCCTGGAATCGGCCCCCCTCCTCTCTGGTTTCGGGGTGCATCACCTGAGAACCGCCGCTGCCAAGTCACCACAGCTCGGCAGCTCCTGTGTTGAATATCTGTCCCCTGGTGGTCAGTGCACATCATAGCTACTGGTTGGACGGTTGGATGGTTGCTTAGCCTTTTATATATAGAGATATTTTGCTCTGGCCAGTTTTGCTCAGTGGCTAGAGTGTCGGCCCATGGAACAAAGAGTCTTGGGTTAGATTCTTGATCAAGGGCATGTACTTCAGTTGCAGGTTCCATCCCTGGAACCTGTGGGAAGCAACTAATCGATGTTTGTGTGTCTCTCTCTTTCTCTCACTCTCTCCCCCTCCCTCCCTTGTACTCTCTCGAAAAATCAATGGGAAAATATGCTCGGGTGAGGATTAACAGAGACATTTTTAAAAAATTGATAAAGATAAAGAGAGAGAGAGAGAGAGAGAGAGAGAGAGAGAGAGAAACATGGATCAGCTGCCTCCTGCATGCCCCCTTCCAGGGATCTAGCCTGAAACCTGGGCAAGTGCCCTGAGCAAGAATTGAACCACTGACCTTTCAGTGCACAAAGGACACCCAACCAACTGAGCCACCCAGCTGGGGCTAATGTCACCTATTGATAAACGTTGTGAAATGATGCAACAAACCCAAGGAGGGTGTCTACTAAGCGGTTCCTCTTATCTCTTGCTGCAAAACAAATCACTCCAAAATGTGATGCTATAAACCAACAACTATCTCGTTAGGCTCATACTCTGTGGCCCAGGCACTCATGCCAAGCCAGCAGAGATGGGTCCTCTGTGCCCGTGAGGAGTGGGCCCCGGGGGGAGGGGGTGCTGGAGAGAGCTGGAAAGACTTGACTGAGGCCAGGTGTCTGGGCCTGGATCCTGTGCCTTGCTTGGTCCTCTGCTCTGTCTGCTTGGAGCGCTGGGAGGTACTAGCAGACACAGACTGGTGTCCGCCCCGGCTCCTGGGTCAGGACTCCAGACACCTGTGATTTCCTGAGCGACAGGGGTGTTTCTTTGTCCTAAGGAGGTGACTCTGGGTGGGCTCCTGGATGAGGCTGGTCACTGGAAGGATCACGCCATGATTAGAAGCTTGGAATGTTCTTTAAAAATTTTTTTTGAAGGCTTTAAATTTCATTTCATTTTTATTGATTAATTTTTAGAGAGAGAAAGGGGAAGGGAGGGAGAGAAAGATTCATTTGTTGTTCCCTTGATTCATACATTCGTTGGTTGATTCTTCTATGTGCCCTGACTGGGGATTGAGCCTGCACCTTTGGCATATGGGGACGATGCTCTAAACTAACTGAGCTACCTGGCCAGGGTGAAGCTTGGAATTTTCACCAAATCTAGAAAGAAATCACTCATTTTGAAATTCAATACCTTTTGAAGTACTTGAGTTGTGGGTTTTTTTGTTTGTTTTTGTAACTTGGCAGATACAGGAAGAGAAATGAGTCATTGGTAGGTTGGAAACCACTGTGCCAAGAGGGTGAAGATTGGCATCACTGCAATTTCTTCCAGCAGCTGCCTTGGGCTTAGTACTATCACAGTGAACTTGGATGTTAAAGAGAACCAGCTTGAAGAAGTATGGGATGAATTTTATGGATTGCGTTTTAATTTTCAAATTTTTCATTTCCTGTTACCTGCACCTATGTGTCTTTTTAAATTAAGGAACTTTATTTTTAAATCTTTCTTGTTGAAAGTATTACATATGTCCCCTCTGCCCCACTGACCTCTTCTAGCCCGTCCCGCCCCCACCCCAGGCCCTCATCACCCTCTGGTCTGTGTCCCCTGAAGCCAATACTGCCCAGCAGTGGGGAGGGCCGGCTCCCCTCCCTGTGTGACCCGCTCCGACAGGTGTCGGGACTCCCGTGCCCTCCTCCGTCACCCAGTTCGAGCAGGGACAAGCATGTGAATTACTCTCTCGTTTTCTTGTTTTCCATGTTAAATACCGCTCCCCTGTGCAGCTCAGGCGCTGGCTTACACTATTGTGTGTGTATGAATAGTCTGTGTGCTAATTGGAGGTTTTCTGGCCTGATGCCCTGGGATTTGAGGATTCTTTTCTGTCATGTCTTATATCCAGACATGCACAACCAAAGGTAAGATTTGTAACTTAATTAGGTGGTATCTTACGGATATTCTAGGATTAGCTAGTGACCCAGAGCTTCCACCTCCCTCTGCTCACGGAACTCTGCAGCCTGGTGGTCTGATTGCATCTGAAGGGGCCGCGTGTCTGGGTAAAGGCTGGTCTACCTGGGCTTTGGCCAGGGTCTGAGCTGAAGTATCTGGGGGACTCCGGGGAGATGCCCTCACAGACCTGGGCCTGCATCTCCTGTGGGAGACGGGGCTGTTACCCTCGGCTTCCCCATCCCCGGGCGGGCAGCAACCCTTCCTCATGTCCTCCACCGTCGTCCCCAGGGGAGCCTGGCGCTCCCCTTTCCTGTGAAGACCCGTGTGCTAGGCATCGGGGCTTGGGGTGCGCTGAGAGCTTTGGGCATATTGGGGAGTTTATGTCAGAAGAGAAATAAATATATGTATTCAGGGGAACCAGGGAACCTTACCTGGTCATGCTTTCCCTTGGCTAAGCCCTGTCCTTGCCCCTGAGCTTTCTAAGGCAGGATGCCCTCTCACCACACAAATGGAAGGGACTTATTGTCTCCTCTTGAAGCGCACGGTGTCAGTCTGGTGAGGGTTCACAGGGCAGCAGCAAACTTGGTTCTATTTTAAATGTGCCCAGCGCCGACTTAGGTCACAGTCTGCCGCCTGGTCCTCGAGAGGGCAAAGTTTACCAGTCCAGTGGCCTCGGGGGCACCCTTCCATTTAGGGGTCATCACACACCACAGAAGGAGCAGCCATGCCCCTAAGGGCCCCATGCAGATTGTCCTAGAATATGTGAGCATGCCGCTGCTAGAGGCATTTCTCCGTAGGACGGCAACCCGTGCCCTGGCTGGCCCCTGGATGGGAAGCTTTGGTTCTGAGAGTCTCCTGGCTACACAGCAGTGTCGGCGCCTGGGGGGAAAGGCAGTGCTTGCCTTCACGGAGGTGGCCGGGGGGAACCGCTGCTGGGAAGTGTGAGACCTGCTTCCTGGCTAGGGAGGGATCCCTTTTGTAATTCTTCTGTGAGGCAGTAAGAGGAACAGGTGGTTTCTAATTATTCCGTGCAAGGTTCCATTTACAGCCATTGAATCCAGCCTGTCAGCTAGGTTCTCACGTTTTCTGTCCTCACTAACTGTTCTTGTTTCAGACCAGTGGTTCTCAACCTTGGCTGCACATTAGAATCACCTGGGAATCTTTTTAAAATCCTGATTTCTGGGCCTCATCTTCCGGAAATTCTGTTTCTTTGTTACTCTTTTTAAAATCCTGATTTCTGGGCCTCATCCTCCGGAAATTCTGTTTCTTTGTTATGAATGTTGTGGCCCCACCCCATAACAAAGAAACAGAATTTCCGGAGGATGAGGCCCAGAAATCAGGATTTTAAAAAGATTCCCAGGTGATTCTAATGTGCAGCCAAGGTTGAGAACCACTGTTTCAGACCAATCAACAGTCACGTGTCGCCGTCCACACTTTGATGGTGTTTTTGCTGATTTCTCTTCCTTGTATTCATTTTTGCTATATGAGTTTCTCTGATTTATTATAAGTATTTTATTAAGTGCATACCATTTAGAATTGGGATATATTAATGGGGAATTGAAACTTTTACTGTTATATGGTGACATTCTTTTTTCTAAAATTATTTTTGTTTTAAAGCTTATTGGGCTGATATTGACAATCTCTTTTGGTTGGTGAATTTGGTCCATTCTTTTTTGACCGATTCTGTTTTTTAGTTTTCTGATCCTATTGTCCCTTCTCCGGAGGAAGACGCTGTCCTTGTTTCTGTTCCCGGTGGCATCTCGCCACCTGCTCCGGCCTCAGCACACACAGCTGTTTGGTAGACTTTGCGATCCTTACAATTTTGCAATAATTGAAAGCAGTTGTGATCACAAATTATCTAGTAATCACAAACAACAAATATTACAAGTAATGGAGCTTGTTGAGTTTTAGAGATGGGCCCTGTGGACATGCGGCTTGCGCCACGGCTGGGATCAGAAGTCCGATGTTAGCGCACTTTCACCCAGCAGAAGTAGTTCCGGTGCAGCTCTGTACTAGCTCGCTGATTCAGGCTCTGGCATGAATTATACACTCACTTTTAGGCAATATTTACTAGAGTTGGTACCTTACTCAGTTTCCTATATAAATTCGTTATTTATAATAAACTAAATACCTACTTAAGTTAATTCACATGCTAAAGGGAATTACTTATAGATCTGGCTGTAAACTTTCATGGGATATTCTGGGTGTTTGTGTGCCTGTGTGTTTGTGTGTCTGTGTGTGTGTGTGTAGGTGTGCTTTCCTAATAACTGGGCCTCTGACTTTAAATTTTTAAAATCAGTTTGGGAGAACCAAGATGGCGGCGTAGGGTGTAGACCTGTGCGTGCTGCCTCCCACAACATCATTGAAACTACCAACTATAAGACAAACAACCACCATTCAGAACCATGGGAAAGCTGGCCCAGTGGAAGCTCTACAACTGGAAGGAAAGAAAGAAGAGCACTGAGACTGAGTAGGATGTGCAGAGACACCAAGTACAGAGCCCAACCCAACAAACTGCAGATTTCAACTCCTCGCATAGAAAGAAGAGCATTGAGACTGAGTAGGATGTGCAGAGGCACCAAGTACAGAGCCCAACCCAGCAGGCTGCAGATTTTGGCTCCTCGCATCCGGGAGGGACGTGCTCGGGGGGCGGAGTCGGGTTCGGGGGAGGCCGGGGCCAGGCCGGCTGGGCCAGCGAGGTGGAACCGCTGTAACAGCAGGCGCACAACCACGTCCACCGGTTCCAATCTCGCTGGGGGACGGCAGAAGGGCAGTCTGTGCACTCGGTGGAGGGCGAAGTCCAAGCAGGCGTGCCGGATGTTCAGCCACCAGGAATGCCTGGAGATTGTGTCTGGCAGGGAGCCACCCGGCAGGGGACAGAGTGCCAAACTTCGTGTTGCCCTGGTGAGGCCAGGATGGCCCGGTGAGGTCGGGACGGCCCCGGTGAGGTTGAAACGGCCCCGGTGAGGTCGGGACAGCCCTGGTGAGGTTG